ACAAAACTCTGCACCACAGCATGGTTGGGTGCGTGGAAGTCATAGCGGAGCAGGTGGGGACAGGTACCCTTGCAGTAGCGCGGGTTGTAGCGGTGAGGAGCGATGATCCAGTGGTCCCAGCCCAGCTGTGCAAAACTGACAGGGAAGGGGCGGAGGGAACAGTCACTCTTCTCCCCTCCCTGCTCCCGCAGGTACTTGGGCAGGTCATGAGCCAATGTCCCTGTATCACGTCGGTGTCGGTGGGGCTCTGCTGCCAGAGGTGCCAACCCTGCCTGAGTATCATTAAGGTAGAGAAGGAGGAAAGGGTGGCCAGGGGCCACAGGGGCATCGTGGCCTCCTGCTCGGCCAGCACGCACACAGACATGCTGCAGTGCCAGGCTCCCCATGCTGCTGTTCCCCAGCACCAGATAAGGGGTGACATCAACTTCAACCCAGCCACGACGGGGACGGGCAGTAGGGCTGAGCAGCACCCTGGGTGGCTCACCAGCCATCACCAGCTCCAGAGCGCAGAGAAGGCGACCGTGGGCCAGTGACAGACTGGGCAGGTAGACCACAGTAGCTCTGAGGAGGTGCTCGACCTCTGGCTGGCCCTCCATGTGGTAGGTGAGGGCCTGCAAGTACCAGCGACCTGCAGGGAAGCAGTAACCAGTACCCTGTTAGCATAATGCAGGAGGCACTGTGGAGCACCCCTTTCTGTCATGGTGCTGCCACAGTCCCACACAGCACAGCAGAGCCTGTGACAGCCATCTGCCCCAGCACAAGGCAGAAGCTGCAGCAAACAGAAGCCATGAGACAAGGCTTGCTCATGGCATGAAGGGCAAAGAGTCTGCAACATTTCCTATCCTCTCCACCAACACCATTAGCCTGGCAGAGCATCAGGCAGAGTGGGAAGGAGAGAAGGGCACACAAGGGCCAGCTATGCAATTGCCCATCTCACCCCTGGGGCAGAGCCTTGGACTCCTGCCAAGTGGAACCCTATGGCCAAGAGCAACCCCAGCCAGGACAGTGTAGAGAGGGGGAAGGAAGCAGGCAAGAGACATCGCCTTCAGAGCTCAAGCCCACCCTGCTAGCTCTGCTAAGCGTACATACCATCCTTAGTGCTCACTGGTTCCTTACCTGCCCAGGGCTGACCCCCATGGGAGCTGGCCTGTACCAGGCGGATGGTGTTGGTACCTAGGCTGCGGCTGCGGCGGGGTCGGCCTTCGCGGTCAGCAGCACGCCGGTACAGATTCAGCATGTAGCGCAGGGGCTGCCCACTGGCTGGCACCGCCTGCCAGCCTGGGCTGCCTGGAGCCCGCGTTTGCAGGGCTTGCAGGAGGGGCAGGGTGGGGACAGCAGGCAGGGAGCCAAGGGACAGTGGGGACTGGTTTGCAGCCTGGGAAAGGGGCACAACAAGGAGAAGGAGGAGGCTAGTGAAAGGGTAGGGCATAGCCATGATAGGTGAGTGTCGGGAGGGAGCAGGTAAGAGGGACAAGGTGGGGCTGGCCAGCAGAAGAATTAGGGAGAACCTGCAGTCATGCTTCTCCTCACTTGGGAGGCAGAGCTGACTGTGGGCGCCAGCAAAAGGATCCCAGAGTGTTTCCAGCTCCTATCAAGACAGGACAACCACACCAGCTGCTTCAGCTTGGCACAGGAACAGAAAGGTGGGGGGAATCTGTATGCAAAAAGGGGTACAAATTCCAGACTAAAATCCAGACCAGGAGCAAAGCTAGCCCAACAGAGAGCCTGGCTATGGGAGCTGTAAAGGTGCTGGGGTAGGGGAGTGGGGTGAAGTGGGGTGGGAGAACCAGCTCACTCAGCCCACGTGCTCTTGGCTCAGCCTCCTCCTACAGGGTAGGAGGTCCTTGCCCCGGCCCATTTTAAAGGCATGGACTCAATCAGGTTTTAAAGAGGCAGGACCTCCCTGGGTCCCGGGGGAGTGGGGCCAGACAGAGCCTGAGAAGGTGCTTTCATGCAATGACAGTCCCTCCAGCTACCTCCACTCTGTGCTGATACTCTGTCAGCGGCTCATCACCTTTGTGCCCATTGCTGCATGCTGGTCTGCACTGCCCCAAGCACGCACAGAGCTGTTGGGGAGTTCTGCTCCCCAACAGCCCCACAGCACAGTGAGGCTGCCCAGTGCCTCACTCTATCCAGCTGGCACTAAGACACATGGGTGAGCAGAGTGACCCTGAGCCCAGCAGTGCTAAGTATGTCTGGATAAGCCAGCAGTACCCCACTGTAGGCATCATCGTGCCACCACCATCAGCATGCCTGGCAACTTTGCCTACCTTGACCAGTTTCCAGGTCTTTCTGCCAGCACCTGCTCAAAGCTGAGAGGTGAGCATGATGCTCACCCTCTCGCTGGCATGGGCCATTCAAGTCACTTTCCGTACTGGGGACAGTGCTTGCCTGGGAAAGAGCCTCTGGGCATACTAATAAAGCCTCTTATTTGGCCTTATCATAAAGCAGAGCACTAGGGCTCAGGAGCTTAGTCCCTGGGTAGGGACTGGGTGCCCAAAGCTAGCTCGCTCATGCCAAGGCCGCAGGGCTACTATCTAGCAAGCATGGTGATTATCAGCTCTATAGTGATTGCAAGCTCTTAGGATTTCAGCTTTGCTTTGCTTTGCTTGCGCGGCGGCCTTTGCTTGCTAGGTAGTGGTGCCCCGGGCTTGAGGCTGCAGCAGACGGAGAGAGAGGAGAAGGAGAAGGCGCAGGCTGTTCCACGAAGATGGCTTTATTTGGGGAGGTCCGTGAAGGGTCTCTGCTCTTCTTCTTTCTCCCCTAATGGGGTACAGTATGCTTCTTTTATAGGGTTGGAAAGGATCCAAGCTTGACCAATGGGTAAGGGGTTAACATGACATTGCCTTATAGGGTTACAGAGATAGGTTAAGGGGTGGAGGACAGGAAAACAGGAATTTTCTTTTGCTGTTTCAGCATTCCTATTGTTCATATCCTCCATGGTGCTTTTCCTAAATCTATGGGGTTTACTACAGCACACTACGGTGTGGTGTGGGCAGCTGCAGCCAGTCCCACCTCCAGAGACCCTGGTGCTGTGCCCTGACCCACAGTACACTGTTGCTCTCCTGCTGGGATGGAAGTGGCCAGGGGGTGAGCACACTGGTTGGGAATCACTGGTGCGGGCACAGGGACATGGGGAGAGCTGGAGGGATTGTACTGGTGTCTGCTGCCCACTCTTCTTGGTGCCAGCTGGGCACAGTGCTAAGGGCTTGGGAGGGCTGTGTAGGGGTGTGTGTGGTGCTAAATGTGCTATGGGGCCTTGAGAAGAGCCAGGGCACAAGAGCCCTCTTGCCTGGCCAGGCAGCCCTTGTTATTCATTTGGGAAAGCGCATAAGGGGCAGACGAGCCAGTGAACATTGGGAAGTCTGGGCATGGCAGCAGCCAGTCATGATTTGGGGCATTGTGGGCAGGTGGCAGGGCAGGTGGGGTCGGGGTGGTGGACATGTCAGTGGTGGACATGTCAAGGCTGTATGGGGGGGAGCTATGAATCTCTCCTGGGTGGGCTCTAGCACTACAAATAGGCCAGGTACCACTCCACCCTGTGCCCTGTGACACTCTGGCTGTACTGGTCTGGCTGCAGCTGGGCTGCACAGGGAGCAGGCAGAGTTCAAGACAGGTGCTTGGGGACAGGGACTACCAAGAAAAACTTGAGACCCTTCCAGCACTGAATGAACCAGCCTGGCACTGCAAGCTCACCCTCCCAGGCCATGGCGGGCAAGCAGGGCTGCAGGCGCTGCTTGCAGAGCAGAGCTTTCCAGGCCGGTTGTCTGGGAAGGAGATGAGTAAGACTCATGGCCCCAGGCGGGAAGGGAGGAGCAGGACTCTTGGGTTCCCTCGGGAATCCATGCCGATCCACTCCCACCATCCCTGGCTGCTATTGCCGGCTCTTCCCCCTGCCTCAATTTCCCCCAGGTAGTACAGCTGCCTCTCCTGGGTGTAGCAGGAAAAGACAAAGTTGAAGAACGGCCAAACTGCCAGGTATGCCCTAAGGTGCCCGGCAGGATATGGACAGGGTGGGGGCTGGCATGGGTAGGTCAGACAGAAGCCAGCAGCATGTGCTGGCCTGCAGGCAGTGGAGCTTGGGGCGCCAGTGTGACTACATGGTGGGGAGCCAGGGGGACTGCATCACCCTACTGCCACCGCCTCGTACCCACCTGAGTGCTGTTGAACTGCCACCGTGCCAGGCTAAACTGTGCTGAGCACAGTCCCTACTGGTGTGTGTTCCCAGTGGCACCATATTGTGCTGAAGCCAACTGGGTAATTTTGAGCTGAACCTGTGCATGGTCAAGCTAAGTCAAGCCAGGCCAGGCTCTGCTGAGCTGAACTCTGCCAGCCGTGCTTGTCCAAGTCAACCAAGCTGAACTGCCCCGAACAAAATTGGGCCAGGTCAAGTGGAGCTAAGCCAGATGAGGCCCGTGCTTGTTCTGTGCTGTACCAAACTTAACTTTGCCAGCCCTGTGTCATGTTGAACTGAGCTGAGACAAGCCGGAATGTGCCAACCCAGCTGAACTGCACCGAGGCATGCCAGGCTGAGCCATGCTGGGTCAGTTAACCCATGCTGGCCCCCCTGCCATCCCACGTTGAGCTGAGCTGTGATGTATCGTGCTGCACTGAGGTCTGCCAGCCTTCCATATCATGCTATGCTGGGTTGAGCTGGACTGAATTGAAATACCCCGGCTGGGCTGTACCAAGATGAGCCAAACAGCTCACTTCAGGTCTCTGGGCTAAAGGATGGCATGCCAAGGTACTGAGTAGAAAGGTGCTGTGCTGTGCTAGTGTCTGCAGAGCCATGCCATGAGCTGTGCTGAGTCGTGCCGTGTTGTGCCGTGCCGAACTGTCCGCCGCCGTCCCCCCGCGCCTCATTGGCGGCGGCGGAGCAGTCCCGGTGCGGAGCGGCCCCGCCCCGCACTCGCCCCGCGCCGCTCAGCCCGGGCGGGCGGGGGTGTAATTTCCTCCACAGTTCGGGGCCAGGACGGGATGGGGCTGTAGCTGTAGCCGCCATGGAGCGGGCAGAGGGCCGGTCCGGCGCCCCCCAGTACGTGCATGTGCAGCTGCAGGGGGGCGCGCCCTGGGGCTTCACGCTGCGCGGCGGGCTAGAGCACGGCGAGCCCCTCATCGTCTCCAAGGTAGGAATCGCCGGCAGAGCCCCGCGTGGGCTCCGCGACATCCTCCCTCAAGGGGCCTCCCGCCCGTGGCGGGGCGCGGGAGATGGGAGGACACCCGGGGCGTGGCGGCGTCGGGGGTGCGGGGAGCCCCGGCCGCGGGGTCTTGTGTCCTGGCGCGGCGGGACGGGGACGGCCACTCGCACCTACGATCTCCGCGGCCCTCCACTTAGAGTCGCAGTGAAGAGTGAGAGCGAGAGGGGCGGAGGGACAGCCCGGACTCGGCGGCAGGAAGAAATTCCTCTGGCACATCCGTTGGGCTGGCGTCGAGGGCGGCCCCCACATTCTCCCTCACGTCTTTCCCGGTCCCGTCCCGCGGGCTGTAGCCGGGGGAGGTCAGCCCCCTCTGTGCCCATCCCGGGCACCAGACTCTGCGGGGACGTTTAGTGCCACGGTGGGGGAACCATAGTCCGTCCCGTCATGCCCCGGCACCCCTGGAACGCAGGGGCAGGACCGTGCCCGGGACGGGGTTGGCGCCGGGGTGCGATGCCGAGCGGAGCCTGGCCGCAGTCGGGAGCAGAGGGTGAGGGTGACCCCTGCGGCCCCGACGTCTCGCCACACAGAGGGTCACCGATTCCCGCGGCCCCCGCCAACGCATCGCTCCGCGGGGAGACCCGCAAGGAGCAGAGCAGCGGCCAGGGGAACTCCAATAGCCACCCCTCCGGGGAGCCCGGACGGGGCCCTGTCGCCGGACGATTTGGCCGCCTGCCCGCCCGGTGTCGCCGTCCTGCTGAGCCGGGGTGCGGCGGGCCGGGTTGGCGGCCCCGGGGCTGCTCCGTGCCTCGAGCCGGGCCGACTGCGCCCCCGGGCCGTTCCACGCCCTCGGCGGGACGCGGCCAGCGCGGTCTGGCTGGGGGAGCTGGAAAAGTGGCTCCGGTCCCAGCCCTGCGCCCTGAGGTGGCACCGCCGGCGGGTGGGGAGCCGGGCGCCGAAGGAGTAACTGCCCGCGTCCCCACTCGCTGCTGGCCTTCGGGGTGATGGGTCCCCCGTGGGTCCGCCGGTTGCCGGAGGAGGGGATGTTCCTCACTCACCACTTTTGAGAAGGGGATTGGCTTGCGGGCCGCGGGGTATCGGCCCCCGCGCTCCCACGGACACGCCGCCACCGCGTGTGCTCGGTAGACAAAAGGGGCTTGTTCCAGCGCTTTGTGCATTCAGGAGAGGGTCCCCCGGGGTCACCGCTCCGCCGCTGCGGCCGGCCGAGGTGTGTGCGGAGAGGGGGCGGCGTGCGGGGTGCGGGCCGGAAAGAGGAAGGGCGTCCCCGCACACGATGACTGAGTTTGGCCTCTGAGCCCACTCCGGGCAGGATCCCTTTCTGTGGCAGAGTCCCACGGCGGTGCTCACATGCGATCTTAAGCCTTCCATGGGGCTGCAAACGCCCTTCGGCACAGGCTTCCCTGAGCACGTCAGGGGCAAGGAGGGAGAATGGTGTGGCGCAGGGTGAGTACAGCTCTGGCACTGTTCTGGTTGTGAGTCCTAAGACAAGTTTCTCCTGAGACAGGCAGACATTCCCGTGAGCCATCTGGTGCCCACCATCAGGGCCCAGAGTGAACTCCAGGGATGGTGTTGGGAAGTGTCCTGAGCTGGCTCAGCCAGGCAGGGCAGCAGGCAGTGGTGTTTGGTTGCTAGTGCTGAGTTCACTGGTAGCAAAGGCAGAACAAGGGGCTGTTTGTGCCAAATTTAGCTCCTCGTGGGTGATGTCAGGGCTGAGCCTGTCCATCCTAGTGCGTGTGATGATCTAGACATGGGTGCAGACCTGGTGGTGTCCTGCAGCAAGTGGGGACATCTTTCATCTCTGACTCATCCCCATGGCGGTGGCAGGCAGGACTGGTGGGCACATGTCTGGACAGAGGACTGAGGTGAAGGTGCAGCCTGCCTTGCTCGCTCTGCTGGTGCCTGTTGGTGGGCAGCAGCATGGCAAGCACCCAAGTGCTCCACTGACTGCATGGTAGGACTGGGAGCCCTCACAGTCAGTCAGGGTCCCCTGCCAGGAAGGCAGCCCCATGGCTGACATCTGGGTAGGAGGGCAGCCTGCCTGCGCAGGCAGGCACATTGGCTGTGCCCAGGCTGGGTATGGCATTGCAGTGCTAAGATCCTTGGAAAAATGGGAGAGCTGTTGGTTCTGGGCACAGCTGTGCCATGGGGCAGTGGTGCACTGGGCAGGAGGCTTGGCTGCCCCTGCCTTTCTCCCTCCTAAGGTGACATTTTGTCCAGGGGTAGTGGAATGCCCCCTGAGCCCTCCCCACCATTAGGGCTGGAAAGTGGTGCCCAGGGGCACATGCACAATGACTGACCTGCTAGGAAGCCATGTGTGCTCCCTGGCACTGAGGTCTGGCTGCTGCCCAAACTGGTCCTGCAGGCACTGTGAGCAGAGCTCATTCCCTGGCCAGGCCTGGGAGCAACTGGGCAGGGTGAAGAGCCCATGGGCAGGGTGGGTGCAGGAGCCCCAGCATGGGGCCAGGTTAGCTCTGCCCTGCAGGTGGCTATAGGGTCTTGCCACATCCACACTGGGCATGGGGCACCCCAGGTCGTGCCCCATGCACCTGCATGCCCTGTGCTACTGCCACCACGGAGAAGCAGCTCCAGTCGCTTGCCAGCCCTGTGGTATGGAGTTGGCAGTCCCTGGCCATTGCAGTGGCAGGATGGGCAGAGATCAGTGCTGGCAATGGACACTGCCTAGCCCAGCCAGGCACTGCTTGTCCCAGGGCTGCCAGGACTGCACCTACCAGCTAGGGCAGAGGGCATGGGCCAGGATCTCGTGCTGGAAGCACCATGGCTGTACTTCCTCTAAGCACAGCAATACAGGGTGCCAGGTTCATTTTGGCCATGGGTGTCAGGGAGGGTAGGCATGTGCCAGGGCTCAGCACTTCCCCTACTATTGTCTCCTATGTGCACATAGGGTTGGATGGCATCCTTTGGGCATCAAAATCACCACGGGTGCCCAGACAGGCTCAACGTGGGGTTGGAAGCAGCAGCAGGGGGCTGGCATCCATGCTGGACAAAGGGCCCTTGTGCTGCCTGCGAGGGAATCTGCTGGGATGTGACATTTTTCTTTCTCTCCCCTCCTTGATGCCCTTGCTCAGAAATTCATGTGACCAGAGAAGGGGGAGAGACTGACCCCACAGATCCCTCTGTGGTGCCTGGGGCTCAGGTACCTTCTCCGAAGCCTCTTTCTCCCCTGACACGCGGTGGCCATGGAACATCCCCTGGGATATTCTGGGGGCTGTGCCCCCCTTGATGCCCCTCTCTGTCACCCAGGTGGAGGATGGGGGCAAGGCTGCACTGTCCCGCCGGCTGCAGCCAGGTGATGAGCTGGTGAACATCAGTGGGACGCCACTGTACGGATCCCGCCAGGAGGCCCTCATCCTCATCAAGGGCTCCTACCGCACTCTGAAGATGGTTGTTCGCAGGTTGGCAGTGCTGTGGAAGGGACGCAGGGAGGGCCAGTGGGGCTTTACCTGCCTGGGGGACTGGCAGGAACCTGGAGGTGCCCTTGTCTCCAGCTTGGAGGTGCCCCTTGCTGGGACAGGGTGGGGAGCAGCCCCTTTGCTGCTGTCAGCACTCCCGCTAAGTGGGAGTTCCACATCCAGCAGAGCCAGGGCAGTGCATTGGGCTCACCACCCCCTCGCTGGGCGGTATCCTCAAGCGTGGCCGCTCCTCTCCCTTCCTGCCTGCTTGCCTGCCTCCTGCCTGCCTGCTTGCCTGGGAAAGGAAGGAGAGGCAGGGCTGGGCCTTGCCGTCCCTTCCCCCCCTAGCTCCTCCAACTGCATCCATTCCCTGGCTGCATCCTGACTGACTCCAGCTCCAGCAGCACTCAGGGGCAGGGACGGCGCAAGGGCACTGCCCAAGGGGCAGGGGTCCCACGGGATTGTGCTGGGGTTCAGCATCATCCATGGTGAGTTTGGGGGTTCTGGGAAGTCCCTGTGCTGACCTCACAGCTTGCTGCTCTTATCCAGTCAGTAGATGTGGCAGCACTTGGCAGTTGGGAGGTACAGGAGGTGGCTTCTGACCATGTCTGTGCAGTGGCATTTGTTGGGTGGGCTGGAGACTCCTGTGGATGCTGTGAGGGGTGGGACAGAGACCAGCACAGGACCCTTCCCAAAGACATGATGTGGCTGGTGCTTGCTGCAGGTACTGAGGGACAAAAGAACAAGGGGGAAGGTCAGGCTTGTGGTGGAGACAGATGTGGCCCCAGTGTCCCTTGGTGGAGCTAATCCAGACCCAGCAGAGATGCTTGCCTTGCTCAGGTCATTGCCTATGGGCTATGCAGGGGCTGTGTCCTAGGTCTCCTGTTAATGTGGCAACAGGGATGCTGCAGTCTGGGGAGCCCTGGCCAGCTGGGTGAGCTGTGAGATCCCCTTGCCCAGTGCCGGGTGCTTGCAGGACTGGACCCTCCTTGCTGCCATCCCCTTTGGGCGGGCACTGGCCTGGGGGAGACAGGAAACCCCGTAGGAAGTGACTTCAGCCCCGGTTCCTTGGCCTGGCTTCCTCCCCATTCTTGTCCTTTCCCGCTGTTGCTCTTGGCAGGAGGAGCGTGCCCGTCTTCCGGCCCCATTCCTGGCATGTGGCCAAACTTGCCGAAAGCCGCCCAGACGTCCCCACCATGCACTGCCCGGCTGATGCCTTCAGCCTCTCCTGGCCTTCGGGGTGTGATGTCAGGTGAGACCCTGGGGGCAGTTATGAGACTGTGCAAAGGGAGAGGGCAGACAGGACACCCCTTGGGTTGTGGCAGTGGGGGTGGCATAGGGGGTCCCACGCTAGTTTTGGGCATCCCTCCTCATTCTGCGCTACCCTTTCCCCTGGCTGTTAATTCCCGTTTCCCGGCAGGAAGGGGCGGTGGCTCTGCTGGAGACAGCCAGGAGCTGCTTAGTCCCACTGCCCCGGCTGCCAGAGCTGGGAGGTCTCAAGTGGCTGGAGTCACACACACACCCTGTGTTCCCTGTGCCTGTTCCCCTTGCCAGTGCCAGGCAACCTTGGTGGTGGCCCCAACCCAGGGGTGAAGGGCAGGTTGGGGTAGTGCTGCCCTGTGCTCCGTTGTCCCAGGGAGGGTGTATGTGGGGGGATGGGCTCCTTAGAATCTCTGTGGAGCTGGATGAGGGGCAGCAGGTGCCTGTAACACTGACGTGGGGCTAGGCAGCAGCAAGCTGTCCCTGCAGTGGAACCCACTGTCCTGGCACTGCAGCACTGACCGGAGCAGCTCCATCGGGAGCATGGAGAGCCTGGACCATCCCAGCCAGGCCTGCTATGAAGGAGACCCCTCACCCGTTGACCAGGGCATGTACCACAGCAAGCGGGACTCTGCCTACAGCTCCTTCTCTGCCAGCTCCATTGCCTCTGACTGCGCCCTCTCTCTCCGTCCTGAAGAGGCAGTGTCCATTGATTCCAGTCTCCAAGGCCCCTGCAAAGCCCCTGACAGGCGCTACCTGACCACAGGGGCTGAGCCATCTGCCAGCTGGCACCCTGAGGCCTGGCGGGCACCAGTGCCCCCCCAGCCCCCTGTCAGGAGGGACAGCCTGCGTGCAGCCCCAGCTGGCAGAGGGGACAGGTGCCAGGCCTCAGTGTCAGCGGATATGCTGCATGCCAAGGGCCGGTGGATCTCTGACACCTTCCTCTGTCAGCGGGATGGGGAGGCAGAAGTAGTGGGCAGGAGGAAAGTGGCACCATACCCCACAAAGGACTGTTTCTCTGCTGACCAGTATTACATGCTGAGCTCCCACCCGGACCGTTGCCCAGCTGAGCCACTCCTGGGGGAGAGCATGGAGTCTGACAACCAGCCATACGTGGATGACAGCATGCACCAAGTGCCTGATGCCACAACAGCAGGTGACAACCCATTGTTGTCCCCTCTCAAGGGCCACATGTCGCACCGTCACAGTGCTCCCGAGCAACTGCTGGCCTCCCAGTTCCGCTCTCTCCAGCTGGGCACCAACAGCGGGCGAGCCTCTCCAGCCCCCAGTGGGCAACACTGGACCTTGTCCCCGCTGCATCCTGAGGGCAGCCGAGGGGGAACCACAGGGGCTGCCCAGGATCCCCCACACTGCCCAGAGCCCTGCTGCCGCCCACCACCCTGCCGCTGCTGCCCTGAGCTGCAGCAAGCCTGCGGGCCAGATGGCCAGGGGACTAGCCCAGTACTCAGCGCTGAGGGGCCAGTGGAGGAGGAGAGCCAGGGAGGGGCCCGGCGGGCTGGGGGTCCTCCCCACCGCTCTGCTCAGATGCGCCGCCGCAGCGACCGCTTTGCCACCAGCCTGCGCAACGAGATCCAGCGGCGCAAAGCCCAGCTGCAGAAGAGCCGGGGGGGTGCTGGTGCACCTCCGCCTGGTGAGGAGCCAGTGGAGGAAACTGAGGAGCCCCCAGAGGGCAGTGTACTGGCAGAGCGACAACCTGCCCCGCCTGAGTGTCTCAGCCCCGCACCGAGTGAGGAGAGCAGGAACTCTGGCCGCTCTGCAGATCGGGGCATTCCCACCCCTGACCCAGCCCCTAAAGGGCCCTTGTCCCCTGAGCGGGTGGTGCCAACAGCCAGGGGCCGCTGGCGCTGGTCCCCGGAAAACAAGCTGCAGCCACAACACTCGCCCAGCCACAGTGAACTGGAGGGCTACAGCCAGGGCCCAGCGGCCTGCAGCTCCCCACCACGAGGCAGCGACGAAGCAGTCCTGCTGCCCTTTGCCGACCGCCGCCGGTTCTTTGAGGAGAGCAGCCGACTGGCACCACCCCGGCACAGCAAGTTGCCAGCAGGTGATCCCAGCACCTTCCAGCCCCCTGGCCCTGAGCACCGGGATGTCCGCCGCCTCTCTGTGGACCAGCCCTACAGCCCACCCTCACCCAACCGCCCTGGCTCTGCTGGCCCCTATGCTGAGTGCTGCCGGGAGCAGCCCCACTGTTACAAGCCACTGGGGAGGCCAGGGGAGCTGGATTACCTGCGGGGCTTCTCCTACTCCTATGGGGTTCCCCTGCGCCCTGAGCCCTGCCGCTACTGTGGAGGGGACCTGTGCCCACCACCACGGCCCCGTGGCCACACATGCCACTGTCATCCTGTGTCCTGGGTGCGCTGCCCTGACTGCTGCTACCCAGCTACCCGTCCTGGGCGAGAGGAGAGTGATGCTTGGCCCCCCCGGAGAGCTTTCGTCCCAGTGAGTAATGCCCTGTGGGACTGTGCTGGGGAGCAGCACTGACACTCCCTTGCACCCCTGGACTGTGACCCTGGGTTGGGGTGTGGGGTACTGTTCCCCCATTCGCCCTGCAGACTGCCTTCAAGTCTTCTGCACCTGAATGGGGATGGGACAGAGGTGCTGGGTGATGGATTTCACACTGCCTTCCCCCTCACACAGGAATTTCCTCAGGATGAGTGGGAACCACCTGCAATCACCAGGAAAGTCAGCCAGTCCATCAGGTGAGCCCATGCCAAATGCCACGGTGCTGGGATGTGTGTGCCACTCAGTGGGGACCTGTGCTGGGGGATGTGGGGACTGCCATGATTTTGACTGGGGATGTCGAGAGTGCCTCCCATACTTCCTTGGCCATCCTTGGCTGGTGCCCTTTGAGGCAGAAGGAGGCACGCAGGGCAAGGGTGTGTGAGGAGGTGTCCACAGCAAAGGTGGTCCCTCCTTACCCTTCCCCAGGGTTCTGGAGCCATCTCTGGGGAACTGTGCCCAGTAGATATGCCTGGGCTTCTCCCACCAGTGTGACTGGATGACTAGCTGGGATAAATGAGACAGGGCATGAAATGGGCCTGAACTGCCAGATGGGTGACTGTGTATGGGAGGACGGGTGCCTCCTTCTCTTCCTAGTGAGCTCTCCAGCTACCCACCTGGTTTCCCAAGGCTTGGCCCATTCCACACCTGCCTTGAGAGCACTGAGCCAGAGTGGCCACCCTGCTACCGGGCCATATCCACGCATGACCTCTTGTGGGATAGTGATCACCTGGCCCACAACCCTGAGAGCCCCCCGGATCCGGTGCACCGCCCACTAAGGGGCAGAGCCTTCTCTGAGAGCCATCTCAACCTGGAACCTTCCAGTCCCTGGGGCTGTGACCAGAAGGACCTTTTCCGTGCCAAGCTGGACCCTCCCAGCATCCCCAAAAAGAAGGGCCCCCCACCTCCCCGCCCACCTCCGCCCAACTGGGAGAAGTACAGACAGCGTCGGGCATCCCAGCACCCACCAGATGGTGCTGGGCATGGCTCTGCCTTCTCTGCTGCCCCAATGCCAATCCGCAGCATTGCTGAGGCAGTGAGGGAGCGGTCACAGAGCCTCACCGGGGAGCAGAAAGGCCAGTCCTGGGGGCACACTGCTTGCCCCCCTGCTTCGTCAGGTGCCTGGCCCCGACCTGAGGCCCCCAGATCACTCCGCAGGACTCCTGGGCCTGATGCTGCCAACGCTGAAATTTGCAGGCAAGTGGTGCCATGGCATGGGGGTGGGCTCTTGTACCCTTGTATCAGAGCATCCTAATCCTTAGAGCACCGTGTGGGGTTTTTTTGTGTTGTGGAGTGTCCCTGTCCCTGACCTCTTTCCCTGGCATGGCCATAGCCCTGAGTGTCCCTGCCCCCACGGGTGGGCAGGGGAGCTGACATGCCCTGGGTGGGTGTTGACAGGGTGTCAGGAGCCAGGGAGAAGCGGACAAAGATGAAGCGGTCTGGGGAGATGGAGGAGCAGCCCCAAAGGCTCATCCAGAACCAGGAGCAGGGCTATGCCAGTCCCCGTGGGGTGGGTGAGTGCTCCCTGTCCCTGCATTGTGGCTCTGGCCCTGCCCTGCCGGAGGCACTTAAGCCCAGTTCTGGGGCAGTGGAGGGGGTCAGCTGCCAGGGCAGCTGGCCCCAGCCCCGCTGCATGGACTCGGAGGAACGACTGTGGGACGTGGCTGTCAGGGACCATTCCCTGGCCAGTGTCCTGGCCCCCTTGGCTTCCCCTGGCACTGCCAGTGAGGTGATGGGTGAGCTGCTGGTGGTAGGGGAGCGACAGGCCTGGCGGAAGAGTCTCCAGCAGGACTGGCACCTGGAGGCCCTGGCACAGGACAGGTAGGGCTGTCACAGCACCGGGCCCCATACCAAGGGCAGGCTTACACCCCCCAGTGCTTATCGCTGTATCTCTGTCTCCCAGGCAAGGTTTTGAGCCCATCTCGCTGCCTCCCAAGAGTGCTGCCAGCTCCAGTTCCTTCCCAGTGCACTTTGGTGTTGCAGTGGGCAAAACTGAGCCACTCAACAAGGTAAAGGCACTGCCGGAGGTAGTGGAGGGGAACTCGGAGGATGAGGAGGAGGAGGTGGACCATGAGCTGGTGGAAAAGAAGGTACAAGACACTGCTGGGGACAATTCCCTTGTGGTTCCCCACTGTCCTGGCCAGGTGCTCATGGAGACTGGGTGCATTTCTGGATGCCCACGGGGACTGAGGCATCACTGGTTGTTCCTGGGAGCTGGGGACATCACCAGGCACTCATGGGTATTGGGGTAATTGCTGGGCACTTGTGGGTACCAGGAACATTACCATATACTCACATGGGCCTGGGGCATTGCCAGATGTCTGCAAGGACCAGGGGCATTGTCAGGTGCTTGCAGGACCTGGGAGTCTCACCAAATTCTCATGGGGACCAGTGGCATCTACAGATGCTTGATGTTTGCAGGGGCTGGGATGTTCCCAGATACCCACAGGGACGGAGGCATCCATTAGGTGCACATGGACTCTGAGACATTGACAGGTTCTTGTGGGGACTGGCAATTGCCAGTAGCTCATGGGAACCTGGGGTACCACAAGGTTCTTGTGTACTGTGGGCCCCAGCACAGCGCCCCCACACTTCCGTGCCAGTCCCCTGATCCCATGGGGAGTGGCCCCAGTTCCCCCTGACCCCTTTGCTCCGGCAGCTGCAGCTGATCGAGAGTCTGAGCCGCAAGCTGGTGGTGCTGCAGGAGGCACAACGGGGGCTGCAGGAGGACATTAGTGCCAATGGGGCACTAGGTGAAGATGTGGCTGCTCGCCTGCAAGCCCTCTGCACCCCAGGGGAGTTTGACAAGTACCGCCTCTTCGTGGGTGACCTGGACAAGGTGGTCAATCTCCTGCTCTCCCTCTCGGGTCGCCTGGCCCGGGTGGAAACTGCCCTGGGCAGCCTCGGGCCGCATGCCCCTCCTGAGGACAAGGTGGGCATGGGGGAGGGGACCCTCACCCATGAGGTTTTGGGCTGCGGGATGCCTTGCCAATGCCAGCTGTCTTTCCCACAGCTGGCCCTGCGGGAGAAGCAGCGGCTGCTGGTCGCACAGCTGGAGGATGCCAAAGAGCTGAAGGAGCATGTGGGGCGGCGTGAGGAGGCAGTGGGTGCCATGGTGGCACGGTACCTGCCCCCCGAGCACCTCCAGGACTACCAGCACTTTGTCAAGATGAAGTCAGCCCTCATTGCTGAGCAGAGGGAGCTGGAACAGAAGATCAAGCTGGGCCAGGAACAGCTCAGGTGCCTGCGTGAGAGCCTTGGCCAGGCCTCCAAGGACTGCTAGCCCCCTACCCAGTCTCCCTCCGGGATCCTGGCTGTGATCCCAGATTGCTGCCAAAGAGGATCCAGCCCCTTGTGGATTCTCCCTGTGTCTGTTCATCTTTCCAGCCCCTGCCTTTTATTTATTTTTCTGATTTACCAAGCAGGGGAGGGGGTTGCCAGTCCAGGTGCTGACAGGAGTTGTTGTGCCACAGAGCTGTCATGGGCTCTGGCCACTCAGCAGTCTGTGGCCCAGCAAGACCAGATGGATGGATGCTACCGCCACTCTCATGGGTCTTTCTGTGCCCATGAGGTCCCTCCAACTTGTCCTGGACACCAGTGCCTCTCTTGTATCTGGTGCTGCACCACATGCCTTAAACACCCCCCAGCTACTATTCATGCAGCATCTGAAAGGGTTAAACCGTGCTCACCAGCTTCCTGTTTGCCCAGCTCTGTCCATCTGTGTGTGGGGAGGGAGCTGAAGGAATTTCAGCCCCAGCATCCTCTTCCTCCTCATTGTGTCAGAAACAATGGCCCCAGCCAGCAGGTTCTTAACCCACTCCCTGCTGGCTGAGGGACCACAGGGGGCCGAGGTGAGTGCCAGTAGGTGTTGTGTACCTGTGTCTTGGGATAGTACCCTGCCAGGGCATGGATGCTGGGACAAATACACTGAGGCCTGCGCTACTCTCTGTCACCAATACTGTGGGCATGGAGACAACCCAGCCCCAACCAGCCCTCACCTGTAGCTTCTAGCTCAACACCAGGAGTGATTAATAGAGGAAACACCACATTAAGGACCAAACGGGGTACCTGTCCCCTCCTTTCTGCTGCAACAGCCACAAATAGCACTTAGATGTCACCCCCGCCACTGTCCACCTGTCTCCATGGCATGAGCAGGTGCCTTCATACTGATTTTGCACAGGGGTTTAATGCAACCAGCAGGAGCTTGGGGCAGGAGGGGTAAACGTTTTGGGGAGGCGTGTAGGCAGCAGTGCTTTGGTGTGGCCCAATAGCTGGACAACCCGGCCCAGGGTTCAGGCAGCATCCGTGCCTGCCTGTGAGCTCCAGCAGGAGCCCTGCTGTGTTGCTACCCCTGCTCTGGGCTACCCTTTAGCCTGTTAAACACTACACTTCACACTTGCCTGGCTGTACTGTGGGATGGTGCCTGGCAGGAGTGGGGTCCTCAACATTCCCTCCATCTCAACCACCCCAGGATCATTGCTAGGACCAAAGACTGCACCCCCTGAGGCCATGCTGCTCTCGTGGTGGGGTTCAGCAGCCCTGCAAAGGGCCCTGTGCTGGAGCTGCCAGTGCCTGCATGCCATTGTATCTCTAACAGTAAAGCAGCAGCAGGAGCTGCACTTCTGTTCCAGCTGTCTCTTGCATGGTTTGTCCCTGTGCCCCAACAAGTGGCACTGGAGCAGGGAGAGGGTAATTGCTCCATCTGGGATGAATCAAGGCTTAGCAAGCTCTCGGAAGCTGAATGCCACCGTGGCACAGGGGACACCTGAAGTGCAGCTGTGGGCAGGGTGTCTTCTGCTCCCAGTGCTCCTAGGCTGAGTTGGGGCAAGGGTCAGTGCCTAGACTCTTCCGCCGGGATGCATATAGGAGTCACGGCGCTTGGGTAGTGGATACAGGGTTTTCCCTGGCAATCTCAGGCCATAGCTGCCAGAGCTTTTGGGGCAGCCCCGGGGAGGGGGTGGCCGTGCCCAGGGGGATGTCGCCGTGCTGCTGCTGCTGAGCCTGTTCCGGGGTGCCCTGATTCACCGGGGTGCCCCGATTCACCGCGGTACGGCAGGGTGGTGCCCAGTGCCTTCCCCGGGGACTGCTCTTCGCGCCGGGCACCCCGCGGCAGGGCAGGGGCGTCGGCGGCCGCTGGGCGGCGCCAGTCGCCAGTGCTCAGACAGAGCATGCGCGTGCAGGTGGGTGTGGGAGCGCAGGTGCGCGCGAACACGCGCGGAGGAGGGGCAGGGGAGGAGGGGGGGGAGGAGGGGGGGAGGAGGGGGGGGGGCGTAGGGTCGCCGCGTGCGCAGATGTTGGGACGGGGGCCGGGGATGCTCCAGGGTGAGCACAAGTGCACGGGGCCAGTGTGAGTGTAGGCGAGTGGGTACGCACCCCCATAGTGGATAAACACCCCCACAGTGGATACACACCCCCACAGTGGGGTACACACTCCCACAGTGGGGTACACACGTGCACAGTGGGTACACACGTGCATGCGCATAGGAGCGTGTCGGTGAGTGGCCAGAAATGTGTGTGCGAGCATATGGCTATGCATGAGATATAGGCACATGCATGTCAGTTCATACAAGTGAACATGTACACACAGATGGATGTGTGCACATACATGTGAGCACGCGCAGCTGAACTCTTACATAAGTGAATGCATGCACACACCTCTGAGCACGCATGTTCACATAGTCAAACACATGCCATGTGTGTGAGTGCAAGTGTACAGGGCACAGCTGCATGCTGCTGCACACAAGTGTTAGTGGCGATTGACTGCACGTGCAGGTGAACACATGCACGGGGGAACTTGTCCTATGTCTGATGTGCACACGTGAATGCATGCACATGTGTATAAGTGTGAGTTCATAGGGCTACTTTGCAAGCCCTTGCATATGGATAACTGCAGGCACAGGGAAACTGTGCCCCATGACCCATTCAAAACACCATTGCCCCTCCATGCAGCTCCAGCTGCTGCCAGGTATGACCGTCAGCCCATGGCATGGCATGGCTGGGTTGCTGGGTACAGGGACCCTCAATGCTGGATGTGGCCATGGCATGGGGTGTCCTGGGGATCCCTTTGTGAAACTTCAGATTGCAAACAGAACCCACAAAGGTGGGGTAGTCCCTGGCCCTGGTGTCTCTCTCCCCATCGTGATGATCTCTCCATTATACAGATCCCAGATCTGTCCCACAATGTCCCATACACCTGAGCTGGGGAAGGATGAGGACATGGCAGGTAGTGATGCTTTAATGAGAGACCCTTGCCACATGTGGGAGATGGGGAATCCTGGAGCATAAAAGTCCAAACCCCATAGTAGGGTGCACATAGTAGGCCCCCCTCACTCCCACAGTCCATTACAGCCCAAAAGAGAAAGCCATGCATTGGGAAGGGACAAGAGAGCGCTTCCTGTCCCTGCACTGGGGCAGAATGGCCCAGAAGGAAGGAAGGGATATGGGGCTCTGCTAGCATGGATCCCAGAGCAGTAGTGGGTGAGAGATGAGTGCAGGGGCCCATGCAACACTGTGGAATGGAAAGTGAGGCCAGAGTTTCTCTCCCCAGATGTTTGGTGGCACACCCCCCTGTGTGCATGCATGTGTGTGTGCTCCAACACATGTTCCAGGGCATGCTCTATGCAATCACACCTCTGTGGGGCTATCTGCATGCATGCACACCACAGAATCAAAGAAAGGTTTGGGGTGGGAGGGATCATTGAAGGATATTCTGTCCAATCCTCCCTGCCATGGGCAGGGTTAGGGTTAGGGTTAGGGTTAGGGTTAGGGTTAGGGTTAGGGTTAGGGCAGGGACATCCTCCAGGGATGCCAGGTTGCTCCAAGCCCTATCCACCCTGTCACTGAACACTTCTAGAGATCGGCCAGCCACAGCTTCTCTGTGCAGCCTGTGCCAGTGCCTCACCACCCCCATGAAAAAGGATTTCCTCTTTCTGTGCAATCCAAACACACCATAAGTCACTTTAAAACTGATGCCCCTTGTCCTGTCTCTACATGCCCTGTGAAAAACTCTCCTTTTGGAAGCCCCTTGATATCCTGAAATGCTACTTTAAGGTCTTACTGGAGCCTTGTCTTCTACAGGCTGAACAACACCATATCTCACAGTCTGTTTCCACAGTAGATAGTTTTCAGCCCTCAGAGCATCTCTGTGGTGTTCTCTTGACTCACTCTAACAGCAGCACATCCTCCTTGTGCTGGAGACCCCTGATCTGGAGCCAGCACTCTTGGGCATGTCACCAGAGGACAGTAGAGCAGATAGGGAGAAGCTCCCTCCCTCATCCTGCTGCCCACCCTGCGGGAGATGCACTCAGGACATGGGTGGCCCTCTGGGCTGCCAGCACATTTGTGTGCATGTGGAAGTGTGTGTACAACTAAAGTGTGTGGCAGCATCTGTGTATGTGCTCGGCCGTGCCTCCATGTAACGCCATATGCCCATATGGTTGCATGGCAATGGTGCACATGCTCACATGTGTGTGGGGTGTGCGTGTGGGTATGTGCACAAAAATGTGCGTGGCCACAGGGTGAATGCTCACCTGTGCAAGCGGTGTGCCTGCCCTTGTCCATGTGAGGAATGCACAAATATGTCCACAGTGGCAGTGCACGTGCTCGCCCATGCCCACATGGATCTATGTGCAGGCACAGGGTTCATGCCTGGGGTGCGCAGGCATGTGTGATCTGTGACTGCTTGTGCATATGCCTATGTGGACGGTACACACGCATGTGCGGCTGTGATGCCTATGCATGTGCTGGCCCTGCCCACGTGGGTGGTGCATACACAAGTGCACTGCAGTGGTGCATGTGCTCTCCCGTGCCCATGCATGTATCCATGCGAGGGGAGCATGCGTTTGTGCACGGTGGAAGCCGTGTCTCCCCGTGTATGTGTGAGCCTGTGCACACGTATGTGCGTGAGCACACCCACACCGGGTGTGCCCGCCGTGCCTCCGTGGGCGGGCAGCGCACACGTGCGTGCACGAGCTCTCCCGTGCCCGCGCGGGTGCCGCACACGGATGCGCGCGGGGGCGCGCGGGTGCCCGCTGTGCCCGCATGCTCGGGGCCGTGCGTGGGCCGCCCGCGCCGCGCAGCAGCGCCCGCCGTGCCGAGCAGGCCGGGGCTTGCGGCAGGGGCAGGGCCGGGGCCGCTTGCGGAGGCACGTCCTGGCGGGGCCGGGGGGCCTGCGGACGGCGGGCCGGAGAAGGAGCGACCTTGCACCAGCAGCGGCGGAGGCTCGGGTCGTGCAAGGTGTGTGCGGGGCGGGGGACGCTCCGCCTTCTCCGTCCCGGGCGTGCTGCGGGATGCTCAGCGGGCATCCGGCACCCGGCAGCCCTAGGGCTGGAGGAGGCAATGCACCTGGGGGGGGGGGGGGCGCGGGCCGCAGCACTGCCCTCACTCCCTCCCCTCTCCCCGCAACGCTTGTTGCTGCGCCGAGAGACGGCACCGCGGTTGCCGGCAGCCGCGCGGAAGGGGGAGGGCGCGGCGGAGCCGGCCCGTGGTAGGTGCGTGGGGCCCGGCTGCCGTCCAGGCTCGCTTGTTGAGGTAGGTGCCTCTCCCAGTCCCTCCTCAGCCTTCGGGGCCGGCAGAGATGCCACGGCTTCCCCCGCATGCGGGAACCCCACGCTCCCCCATCCATCCCAGCCCACCCGCAGTCACCTGCTCAGGGCTCGCGACCCATGGGCGCAGGAGGTTCACCCATCCCTTCCCAGTTGCCGGAGCCAGACGGATGGCGGGGTCCAGCTGCTGCTTTTCATGGAGATCCCTGCGCTGTCCCCGGCCACACAGCACAGCCCAGCACCTCGGGGGTGGGCAGCAAGGAGAAATAGCACAGGCTGCGGGAATGGCTTCCACCCCTCTGTGCACCAACGTACCAATGCCCGAGCATGGGGCAACCACAGTCTCCTGTGCCCAAGTCAGGGACAACGTTGGGATGCCAGATAGGCTGAGGAATAGTTGGGACACTGATAAAAAGGCAACGAAGGAAAACTTTGCCTGCAAGGGGGCCACCCTGAGTGTCATTTCTGGGCAAGGATGCGCCATCTCCCTTGATTTTCAGGGCTGCACCTCCCAGCTAGCAGAGCCTTACAGGATGAGGGGTCATGCATGCCTCTTCAGGGCTTTTCCTCCATTCCTATGTGTCCTTGTCCTCTCAGGGCTGTCATCAGGGGCTGCAGAGCTCTGAGCCAAGCCAGATTGGAAGATGGCTGAGAAGCTGGTGCCTGGGGACCTGTTCTCGAGGAAGACCCGGGAATCAGTGTCATCCCTGGACTTGGACAAGCTGGCACCCATCTCACCCGAGGCTGGTGGTGAGGAGTCATCTGACAGCGAGGGCGAGCAGGACGACAGTTCTCACAAGCTCATCCGGAAGGTTTCCACCTCGGGGCAGATGAGAAGCAAGGTCAGGGGTGGGGGATGCCAGTGGTGAGGGACTGGCTGGATGTGGGGTCACTGCTGAGGACAAGGCAGGGGAGTTTATGAGGGTGTAAATGAGTACCAGGTTCTTGCTGCTGGCAGACTTGGCCCAGCCACAGCTGGCAGGGTTCTGGCCCCCTGTGTCCTGTGGGAGGGCACATAGAAACATGCAAACC